GCAACTTCCACACAAAGAAAGGAGTCTGCGATGACACAAAAGACCACACTATCTTGATCTTCATACCTTCGCTAATTTATTGCAGTTTTAAAATGAATAAAGTCTCATAAATATGTCTAACAAGATGCTAACCCAAGAAAATGAAGTAAATAACCAGATAGACTCTTTCATATACTAGGTAACCCTAGAGCCAAAGACATTTCCAGAGGCGTCTAATCCTCTGGCGGGTATATTTTCGTCAATAGGCAATCACACGAATTGATACCAATCTCGATAGCAAATGAATCAGGATTTTTTGCATAGGATCTGCCTTATCGATTGAGCTCACTGGATCTATGACAATTGAATGGTTTTATATAATAATATGAATTTAAATGGAATTCACCTAATTAGAATACCTCTAACTAGAATTCGCCTTAATCTAGTGCACGATAATAAGGGATGGTCATTGTTGCCGTGTTACGTTGAATAAATACCCTGAGAATCCCTTTAGTTGTTTAAGTGGATTAGTCCAATCTAAACTATATTACGAGCTCAATTATAAACCAGAGACCCTTTAATTTAATCACCAAAAATATAAAAGTGCACTCATTTCCCAAGCACTATAAGGGTTTCGTATTTACTGTGAGCTCGCTTAGGAGAATCATAGTGGAGATAATCAGACCACACTTGGAAGCGGTAAGTCTAAGGCCCAGTATTATCATTGCTTGACAATAAAACATAAATATATGGACGGATTAAGGAGATACCGATTGAGAAAAAACACTCATCAAAAAGATACCATAATAATTAAAAGCAATGTTGATTGAATAAATCATGATCATTTTGAAGATTGCAGAGAAATCTTAATATATTCGATCGCTTTGGTACTCAGTCAAGAAATAAGTGGAAAGGAACAGTGGAACCTATCAGTGCTATTTTCTGATACTATACTTTTTATCTATTAAATAAAAATTATGGCACATGATGCAGAGCTCCGGTGTCCATTAAATACAGATCAGAAAAAAAAATTTCAAATTAGTAAAGCTGAAAACTGTCTCATGACAAATGGAATTTTCCTTCTCTGCGAAAACCTCGAGAATATGTATAGCTAGCTTCATAGCCAAGAAAATGTAACAAAGGCATACAAAATAGTGATAAATATGAACAAGAGAGAAGATCTAAACCATGTTCCGAGGATCTCAAGTGGAATAAAGGGTTGCTTTGGAGCTGTGGTTGTAGATTTGTGCGAATAGGTCCGCGGCGCACCGACCTGCGACCCCGATGAATCCGTGCTGGGCTTTCGTCCGTCATATGATGGACATCGTCAGAGCTTAACGATACTTTACCAAAAACACGAGGGCAAGAAGGGTACCCGGCTTCGAACCTACTTCCTTCTTATATTCCATTTTGGTCAACAAATGTATCTCATGTTTTGGTTAAATGTCCTATGCTTTGCCTCTATATTTGTTCATAAGTCAAGTTAAGTTGCTACAAATGAAGCGTAAAATGGATGCAATTGAAATCGAACAACCATAGCCCAAAGGCAACCCCCCCAGCCTTCGGTGGAACCAACTTACATATCCATTCCACACGCCTCTTGAAACGAAGTGAAAGGCACTCCAACATGAATCTATTAAGGAATTCTTCGAAACCAAATTTTTTACATACCTCAAATGGAATGTTTTCCTTAAAAAAATCTGGATCCTTCGAAGAAGCCTACAGATATGTCAGTCATCTACACACCATGATTCAAAGCAAAGGTATGAAAATTAAGAAAAAAAATCATTAGTGATTAATATGCCATCAGCGCATTTATCACGGTTCTGGTAGATGAGAAATGAGTAATGGCAAACGCTTTAGAATGCTTTGATTTCGCAAGTCGTCAGGAAATCAGACAAACATGAGCTATGTTTAAAATGTCAAAAATGATCATCCAATACTGGCTACGATGGCACTGCCAGATTACACGAAAAGACTTTCGGCTATTGACATGGATTATTATTCCTATCAATCACGTTTACTATACGAGGCCTCGAAATAAGCAAAGGTGCGATGAAAACAAATAGCCAAGGATGACTACAAGACAATACGAATAAATCAATCCCATTGATGCACTGTGGTTAGTGAATGCATTTAAATAAATAACTGAAAACTTCGAATTCAATAAATACGTTTAACAGAAGGTACTCATAGCGGGACCCGAACCCAGGTAGTTTCGAAACCTCTAAATAAATATTCTATTGCGCTATGCTTTTATTGCCTAAAACAGACAGCAGTAAGCCTTTTCCAAAAGATCCCATCTGCTTATATAATTACTTTTAATTGAGATGTAAGAAAGAGTGGAACCTACTGGCCAAATTAAACCCTGGCCTTATTTGATAAAAAAAGGCTCTCCACGAGAGAAACATTGATTTCATGCATAGCCTGGTGTTGGAATCATTCCTTAAGTAAGTTAATAATCTTTATGTATGCATTCAATAGTTTATTTTCCTTATTTACCTTGGAATGACTTTTGAGACAATGCTCTAGAGTTGTTCTGGAACTGATCAATTCTTCAGCTAGGCGATCAGGCGACCTAGTAGCCCGTAAATTCACTCTATCCTGCCGTTTGACCTCCATCGTATCCGAAGCCTCAGCCAGACTAGCCTCAGGAACCCTCTCAGTAGATTGCATTGAGATGGCATTAGTCGAATGGGGCATTAAGGAGAGGATATCGGTCTAATTGGATAGTCGTAGAATAGAGAAGCAATAATTAGAAAAACCATATGGGTTCGACTTAAGATAAAAGTTAAGATTAAAAAATACTCAGTGTTCAGCAAAAAATAAATAAAAGTTGATTCTTAAGTGTAGTCATCGTGCCCATATGAAATGTTAGTGCAAGACAGGTAACGTAGATCAAAAAAATGTTTTTCGTCCGAAATCAAATAATCGTTAACCTAAAGCTACAAATAATATTTAATAACTGTCAATTCAGAAAATAAAAAAGGGTTAATGGAATAAAAGGAGAGCAAATAGTTTTGCTTGATATTTCCAAGCCAATCATAATAAATAAACGAAGAATAAGCGGGTTTCGTTGTTGTAGGGAATTTAATTTCTTATCATGAACGATGAAGAGAATTGTAGTTTGATCGCACCAGAAGTATACGGCTGATTCCTGTTATACTGAAGCCGTTTGGCTTTAATATAAGGTTCAGGTTGATGCAGTCAACGAAACATCTTCATTCGTTCCGAGTGATAATGGTTTAAGCTTTCGTTCACCATATATCATATCAGAGCTTGAACTCATTCCTGTAAAGGTCTCAAGTTAAGACTAAGTCAAGAAGACTGGCTGACTCTGTCTTACATGATATACATACAACCCTGACCATAACCATAGCCATGACGGAAAAATATTCAGATATAGATAAATAT